TTCGTTAGTGAGCACAAGGTCCATTATCGATGGCTTGTTAGCAGTTCGAAATCTGGTGGGATAGGTTACGTGGTTGTACAGAGTATGGTTAGCAATTAGCTCTTGCAAGCAGGCTTTAAACTGCGTACCGTCGGTTGCTGGCGTTTCTATATCGTGCACGTTAAAGTCTCCAGCGATAAGAATGTGGGTGTAGGACTTGTTCAGAGCAAACTGGAAGACGTGGTTCAGTTTGGAGTCCATTTCCGACGTTGAGTTTAGTGGGCGGTAAATCACGGCTAGTAGACGTGTCCTTGTTTCGCAACCACATGTGGCACCAAAGCTAATCAGGAGATCGGATTTCCGGTTGACCAATAACTTCACATCGGAGATTTGTATTCTAATAAAGGATCAAACCACCACCGCTTCCGGTTCAATCGGTCCGAAGCAGCGACATAACGGGTAGATTGATCTCAGAATCGGTTATCTCAAGGTTTAACCAGGTCTCTGTAATCATGACGAGGTCCTGCGCTTGTGAAGCATGGAGTTCTCTAAGTTCGGCCAACTTACTTAGAAGGCCTCGGGCGTTTGTGTACATGCAAGGTAGGGTTTTTGTTGTTATGAATGCATTGATGGATGCTAACTTTGTGTTAGTTTTCAAGCCGGCCGTTAGGTGGCCGGCCATTAATCGTTTTCTGGTTTATGAATTTCAGTCAAGTTGCATGGCATTATTGAGCGTTCCTGAACAGATGTTTCACTCGTGTTGTGCTCTGTCCTGTTGTGTGCCGTGGATGCTGTTGTGTCGGTCTCTCCGCAGGACTGTGCAGATAAAGAATTTGCAGTCTTTGCAAGTTCCATCGAATCGCTTACGACTTTTGACCGTTCGCATGCTGCCTTTAGCCGGATCTCTGTTGGCAACCTGGCTCGAAACTTTAACCAGTTATTCAACAGAACTTGCGTCATTCCCTCGGGGTGTAGTATTACTTTGATTAGCCTTGGACCGTAGCCCTTGTAGTTAGGTGTTGATGGCACTCTTTTCAAGGATTTGTCCATAACATTGTCAACAGAGAGTGCTTCGCAGATGTAGTACCACTGCTCTCGGTCATTCGTTTGCACATCGTGATCAGAAGAATGTTTTTTTGTTATCCCTATTAGGAATGCCACGTTGGTCACCTGCTTCTTTTGGGCGATCTACCCAAGCTAGGTCGGATAATATGCGCACTCCGCCCCGGGAGTTGTGAAGACGAACTGCTGAGAGCAGGACAGCGTCTGTCGCATCTGCTGAGTCTAGTGTTACTCGAAGAATTCGAGGTTCACCAGAGTGCACTGAAGTCTGATGTGGCGCTATGCGTTGCAGCATTGTAGGCTCAGCCCGAATACCAATCGCCTCGCAGATGGAACTCCACTGATTGCGATCGTCTTGCAACTCGCCTTTTATTGTGCCAGATTTGGACTCGGGAACACTGGTGCACACGAGAGTTAACCAAACGCGGTTTTGTCTAGCGAGTGTCGGTAATTTGGGTTTTTTACAAGGCACCACTGGATTTGACGGTGAAAGCTGGGTTGCTCCGCGTGTCCTCGGTACAGAAGATGGATCTGTGTGTGTCACTCCCGGTGTGTTTGTCGTGGCAATCGATGCGTACGTTACCTGCTTGCCATCTACACCGGATTGCCTTCGGCTCTGAGCTGTCGGTGTCATGGCTAAATCTCCATGTGAAGCGTCTATGGTTGAAGAAGTGGAAGCAGGCATGTCTGAGGCTTGTCCACTTATGGGAGTGAGGTGACCCAGTGGATTTAGAGACACAGACGCTATAGTGCAGTTGGAGCGTCTAGCGCTCTTCTTCGGCTTAGATTCAAAGCTTCTTTTGGCTGGTTGAAGTATTATCGTGACCATCTTTACCTCCGTGGGATCGGTCTTAGTATTTACAAAATGCGCGATTATCTTGGTCATTCTATCGCCTATTTTCATGAGCAAAGATGAACAGTTGACAACTGGAATGAGTTTACCTGTTGGGCAAAACCAAATTGTGTCAGCAACTTTGTTTGTCCGTCTCACTTCTTAGATCGATTTGCTTGCATATTGCGGACATTACGATCTAATGCAGCTAGAACAGGGTACACCGACCCTAAGGACTTTACTGCAGCTGTCTGCGCAACGTAGGCGACGTTGAACCATTGGAATGCTAGTCGCCCTCTTATCGTTTGCAGCAAGGCCTATCTGAGCGGCTCACCTTAATAAGTGTTCTTTGCGCCAGGCGTGACGCACAAACACGTCAGAACACGCACACGAATTGAGAGTTGTTCAACCGCACCAAGGTCAGGCGGTAGCGGCAGATGGAGGTCATAACGCGCAGACTGTCGGGTTCAGCGATCAATCGACTAGCAGTCGAACACACCCACCCACACGAAGCGGCAGCGTGTGTTGATCGGCCTGCCTTAAGCAACGATGCAGGGGGAGCGCTGATAAGCGTCCCTGGAGCTGTTTAATTGATGAGCGGAGCAAAGTGACTAACTTTGTTATGCTGCAACTTGCAGGGATGGTTGCCGCGTAGTTTGGGAGCCTTCAGCTTCTTCTTCCGAATGAGACCAAAATCTTTTCCGAAGATCTCCGGTTTGATGTAGTTACACACGTAGAACTTGGCAAAGAATATGCCGAAAACTGGGAACTGGAGCAAGCGTATAATGTACACATTTTAGATCCAAGAGTTGGGAAGCACTGAGTAGAGCTCGTCGAACTGGTTCGAACGAGCACACGCACAATATTTTGTGGGAGAATTAGAGTGGCCGCAGAGGGCGAAGTGAGAGCCGAGTTAAAGTACTTCCGCACGTGAGTGTGATAACATGCATGCATGTTAGCTACTAATATAATGTTCGAGATGGTCATTCGTTAGAACGTGTTAGTCATGTATTCATATATATCGTCAATAGGCCTACCAATGTTTCGGGATCTGTAGCGGATAGGGTACTCAAACACTGGTTTAGTGAGGCGCAGAACTAATTACCTAGTACATCTATCATTAATCGTACCTTGATACGCGCGCATGCATAGCTGTGACAGAGGTAGCAACAGAAACCGTCGCTCTTTGCAAACTAACTGAAAAGGAATAGTGTAACACTCCTCAGGTAGAAGATAATGAGTACTCGGTTGACCTTCTTCGTAGGCATCTATGTGGTCATAGAGACCTTGAAGTAGGTGTGGTCGGTTGATGAGAGGATATAACATGGTGTCCAAGGAGTGAAAACGAGAACTCGGTTTACCTTCCACCGTCGACTTCCATGTGGGCATGAAAGCCTCGAGGTCGGCGTGGCCGAATAAAGAAGTACTGTAACATTGGTTGGATGAATGAAGAAGAGGACTCTGTTTAACGACACTTCTCAGCCACCATCTTGATATGGGGGCCTTGAGGTTGTTAGGGCCTGGTAAGGAGGTGATACATTTTGGAAGTGGGCATGAAACGCTTTTCTTTCTTTGACTTCTGTGATGTCAACGAAGCTTTTTAAGGTACGACCGGGAGATATCACGGACATGCATTAGATGCCCTTTGGTCCCTTCGGATAAATCTCTGTTTCCGCGATATTCAGCCTGAAGAGTTGCATGGCTTTTGGGACTGTGAGAAATTTATCCAGCTGTACACGAAACATGTGAGGATGTGAACCATCTAATGGACAGTGGGAGATGATTCCAAATCAATGTATATCTAATGAGAAAACGTTTTCACGCTGTTTGGTTCGCCACTTTGCAATCGCAATCGTGCACGTTTTATTACGGATAAGGTAGCGTTTATTGTGTTGTAATTGTGTATGAATGCGCTCATGAATTAAAACGAAAAGCAGCGATATGTTTAGCTTTATTCTACACATCCATGTTGTACTTTAATCACACCACCCGACACGACTCGATCTCCTCTATGCTGGTATTACAGCTTTTCCTTTCGGGTTTTACAGCCAGCTTACTGTTAGTGAGTTACACATACGATTCTTAGAGGCTGATCCCCTGATATACCCTACACATCCTGCCTATCGTTACAGCAGCGAAGTTCATGCCCTACTTTGAGTCCGTGTTGCGTTCCTGTGACGGATATTGCGATGATACCGTGAAATAGTTGTGGTTCTTTCACATCCTTTTCTGTCTTAGGTTTTTATTTCATCCATGAGTGGTTTGACGCATGTTCTTCACCACTGGCTTGTCTAAATTAAAGTGGTTTGTCCGGAGCACATGGTACTTCCGCTCGCTATTACACGTCGTCTGAACCCGGGATCCACTTTTCGAGGCCTAACGGTCGTGTTCTAATCTCGCTTATCAGCAATGTGCCCAATTATCCCCTGTTTTCGATCCTTGATGTTTATTATTTCATCGTCTTGTGACCACTAGGCTTCGAAACCAGATGGGTCGACGCGCTTGACGATTTTACTGCGCGTTTAGTCCTTTACTCGTTCTTCCAAGAGTTCCTAATCAATATGCGTTAAAATTGAATGGATCGCTACTTCCACTTTGCGTACGGTGCCTGTATATGCGGTTTACACATCGATATTGCGCCATTATTCTACATGTTAGCCTATGTGCCGCGATGCAATTCGAAACAAATAAATAGCAAATTATGCGAAATGCAAAAACGATACAAGCAATAATACTATTGTAAGCTTATCTTTGTGTCAGTCGAGGTGGAAGTTAGTCGCTGAAACTGTCATCTGGATTCAGTAATTCTTCCATATAGTCTATCTTAGGCGCTATTATGAGTTAATGCTATGCTCTCAAATTTGACTTAACTCCCAGACAATTTGTTTTACGGTGCATATGAACTAGCGTACATTGTGAGTTTTGCTTCCGAGAGCTGGATGTGTCACTTACGATGGTGTACTTTTTACCGTTTCTAAGTGCCATTCATTGTCGCCTGGTGGTCTTTGCGCTGTCTATTCGATTAGTAGAACACCATTTTTCCTTTTGTTGAGCTTCTCGATTTTCTCCCGGACTTGGTGTTTTTTTACCGAAATACCTCCGTTTCCATACATCAATGTCCTTTTAGGGTCTCATTCGGCATTTTCGTTCGGAATTAGAAAATAGGTTCGCCAAGGTGGGTATCCGTCTACCGGAAGAGAAGCGAAAACACGTGATCGGCGCCAAAGAAGCTCCCGCCTACATCTGATACGAGTTTCATCCTTCTTTCTGGGACCGGTAGTCAACACGCAGCTTAGCTGAGTATGCAAAATTATCTCTTTCGGCTCGTTTATGCAATATAACCTGAAGGTTATACATCCATGTAACCGTTGCTCCTTTTCGATGCGATGTCCATAGTATCTTTGTTGATATTCCGTTACCGTACAGTCACGGTGCCATTTTTCACTCAGCAATGGCTCTTGCATGTCTTCCTGCTTCTGGTTACCGATTGCCTTTGTCGGAACAGGCGGTATCTGTTTCGTCTTAGTTCCATGTAACTGCTGTCCTTTACTCTGTCTAAAACGATGTAAACTACAGTCTTGTGTTTTTTCTACTCTGTACCGACGCATGTCACATGCGCTCAACATCACCAATGACTAGTCGCACCGATCCCAAATCGTTTTCAGTCTAAGGATATCGTTTTCCACTAGTTCGTTCAAAGTTCGTACTTAGTGGACACAATTTCCCGAATTCATTCCAGTACAAAGCCACATTTACGCGATTTGATCTCAAATTCTTATAGGAGCGGATTTGCGGCTTATTGAAACCCCTGTATTGTCTTGGAAAACGTCAGAGATCAACTTTTAATAGTTAGTTGCAATCAGTTTTCAGTCAGACAGTGTCAAATCCAAACGTTAAAACAAGTATATTTGCTTACTCAGATTTACATTAGAAACCAGTGATCACTCATTCTGTCCACATGAGCCACAAACTATTTTTCACCTACAGAGCACTTGCTATTTGACTTGTTGCCTGTGCAGTAACCACTTTGACATTGCCGACGGACCTGGTTATGATGACAAAAGTGCTCGAGAGCCTACCATATTTCACTCATCTTGGCGTAGAGTTGGTCTTGGCCTAGTTTTGGGAACCTTCTGTGCTGCCATCCTACCAACAGCACTTGTCTGGCACTCCATTACGGTCCACGATATGTAAACTTCGCTGAAAGGTGCAAAATCGGCTGACACCCCATACTGGCCTCAGGAAGAGTGCCACTGTCAGGACTTTGAGTGCCAGAGATGCTATGATCTGCCGATTCTTGGAAAAAGATGTCATCATCTAAATCATATTCATTCTCCTGTCCAGACTCGTCATAATCGATAGCTGTCATTTTTCGTAAAACCTCAAAAGCTGTTTTCCTCCTACGAGCTATTGTGTATCAATGGCACGGAATTTATCAAACCGAACGCACAATATCACTGGGAAATCGTGAATCGTCTAGTTTTTACTCCGGTTGTGACTGATATTGCATGTAACTTTGTCAGAAATAATAGTGGCGCCTGAAAATGAAAAAAGAAACCACATTAGTGTCAAGCTGTTATTTTGACCGCTAACGGGCTTTCTCGGTAGTACGAACACAACTACTTTTCTCGGAAACCGTAACAGATATGAACGTCAAATCTCACAGTTATGAAGGACATCTAAAGATATTAAAACTCACGAAATATCTTTGCACAATGTTTACAAATATAAATACTATGCACATTTAACGACACTGAGCGCTCAAAATGACCGCTTCGGCCGTTCTGATGTTAAGAGAAACCCCACCCCCTTCGAAGTGCAGTGCAAGCGACCAAGCCAATCTGCTGTAACACAAACCGCAGTGTGTTTATCGATACCTGGCCCCTTAGATCAGCGGACATAAAGAGGCTAGTTACGTTCGACTATCATTGCCTTCGCAGTTTTGCTCACATCTGGTGGGAACACCGCGTGAGCAACGCGAGTATTCGACGCCTTGTTTACGGCACAGGAAATGGAACTGAACCGCTCAGCACCTTCATTTCACGCACCAGGCTCCTATGGCTCGGCCAGCCTACCAGCTCCCACGACGTGCGTTGTTTGCTCGCCGGAGGTGTGGATGGAAGAAGAGGAGGGGTGGCCAAGCAATGACTTGGTCGAGAGGAATGAAGGCCCTCACCAGAGCTGTCCTCAGGGCGAGCCTTACGGCTCTTTGGTTGAGGTCCGAAAGACGATGAACACATTTGGCTAGATACACTTGCTGACATGACTAGGAGCCGACCTCAGTGGCGTTCCTGTTGTGTTTCTTTGTCCCTTCCCATCCCTTTTAGCCTCCCCTTCAACCATGATCTCAGTTCGGAGCATAATATACATTTACGTAATAATTTTTGGTTACCTAGTAGCCGGCTGTTAGCTTTCCGGAACGATGCCCGTCCGTTGCTGATAGCTGAGCTGGCATGCAACTGTTGCATTTACTTTCTTTTATGTATTGCAGCGCAGTAGCTGAGGTGCTTCCCACCTCTGGCTAACATGTATACTGATGATGATGATGAATGCTTATCGGTAATCTGCACTAGATTCGCCACACGACATCTTGATGTTTTATTTATTTATATTTACAGCCTGTTAACGGGTACCATCAGAACCATGGAAGAATAGAAAATAGAAACAGGAAATGCGATAATAAAATAATGAAAACGATTTTCTTGGTTTTACACCCGCCATTTTGGTTTTGTTTCGTGAGTTATTTGTGTGCATTAAAAGGGAGGTAAATAGCAGAACTACACTGGCGCCACTGATGTCTGTTGCGGGCCATGACATCCAATGTTTCCAACCACTGAGATTCAGCATCTCGTGGTCCCCAACCTGGAAGACGGACTGGTCCGACTGCCACCAAACTTGAGGTTGACTTCTTCATGCTCCTTCTCCACGTCATTGGCTGTCTACCGCGGCACTTTTTCCAATCGCTCCCTGGGCGTGCAAATAGCGCTCGACGTGAAAGGCGATGGGCTGACATTCACAAAACGTGCCGAGCCAACGCATGTGATGTCGGAGAATAACGCCCTGAAGACTGGCACTACTCGCTCCAAGCACTCGGTCTTGCACCTCTGCGTTGCTTACGTGGTGTTGCCACCACACCCGAGCAATCCTTCGTAGACAGCGATTGTCGAAGATTGACAGCCGCTTCATGTCTTCCGAGCGAATAGGCCAAGTCTCATAGCCGTACAAGAGTACTGTACGGACGGAAGCATTGTACATCCTGCCCTTGAGCTTGAAACTGACATCACGACGACACCATAGGTGTCTCAGTTTGATGAATGCAAGACGGGCCTATGCAGTCCGTTGTGAGACTTCATCTCCAACACCGCCACCAACCGTGATGCAACTCCTTAGATAAGTAAAGCTAGGGACTTGCTCCCGAACATGTCCAGCCATGGTGAGCGCGGTTTCAGGCACCTGCCAGTCCTGGAGCAGCGTTTTACATTTTCCCGGAGTAAAGCAAAAGCTGTACTTAGGCGCTTCCATGGCTAAGCAGCCCAAAGCACTCTGGACGGTTTGTGAGTCATCTCCCAGCAAGGTGATATTGTCGGTGTAGTCCAAGCCGGCCAATGGCCGAGTGGTATGTCGGCCGGTGGCCGTGGTATGCGCGTCTGGTTTGCAACCATCAGGTCTCCGGTTCAAATCCGCGTAAGGGCGGGCGTCCTCGCGGCATACTCAGCCCACGCGCAACTGGTGGTGGTCGCGTGGCAGCGAAGAGCCGTTACGGCGTAAGCTGGCGACTTTCCTTTTTTCTTTTCCAACCCCATGACTCTGTCTCCAGATTGGAGGTCAACACCGCAGTCCTGGACACCTTCCATTGTTCCTTGGACGACATCTTCAATGGCAAAATTGCAGAGGAAAGGTGAAATAAGGCAACCTTAGCGAACACCGCTGTCCACAGCAAATGAAGAAGAGAGCGTGTCGTAAGCCCTGACTTTGCCGGACGTGTGACTTCAAAGCTCTTTCAGGATAGTTACAACTTATCGGGCACACCTTTTTTCAGTAAACAGTTCCACAATGCAGATCTATCTACTGAAACTAATGTCGCTCGGATGTCTAAAAACACTACGATTGTTGGCCGCCGGTGAATGTGACGGAGTTCGAGGAGTTGGCGAAGCGTGAAGATTTGGTCGATGCAGCCGCGGCCTGGACGAAATCCGGCTTGTTCCTCTCGGGAAAACTCCTCTCTAGTCGTTGAAAGCCCGTGAAGTAGGACCGACACGAAGATTTTGAATGCGACAGAGACCAGCAAGATTCTGCGGTAGTTACAGCAATCGTCGCGTGAGCCTTTCTTGTGAATCGGAACAATGACAGATTCTCCCCCTGAATTCGGAACCTTCACTTCAGTCCCAACTTTCGTGAACAGCAATAGGATTTCGCCAACCGCCACAGGGACCTGCCAACCATATTGATGAGGATGAGCAAGAGGAAGTACCCGGGGAAAATAGCAAATGTAACGGAACGACAAAGTTTAACAGCTTTCTATCCCACTGTCCGCGTGGGCAAAGCAGGTGCCATCGATGGTGTTTGTCGAATAAACTAAGCGAAGTGATTTGCAGCTAAACAAATCTCTCACTTATGACCTGATTGATCAAATGGAAACAGTGTTACAAACCACCATCATAATCACACTCGTCCGGAATTCGGCATACAGGGTAACATAGATGACGCTCTAGTATTTTTGGTCAGAAAAATTAATCGGCATACGATACATAATCATAAATGGTCGAACGAATCGAACAGATGCGTTCGCACATTGGCGCCGAAGCTCGATATGGGGGATTAGCAGCTTAAAAATGGTAAAGTCAGCGATGTGACTCTTACCGCGGGGAAGTATTTAATGCCGTCGTTCTCTGTAAATAACAAAATTATATCTAAAAACTTTAACTTTCCTACACTCAGCATGGTTTGTAACTTTCAAATCGGTGGATAATGATTAGTATATATACTTAGACACAATGGCATAAAGCGAAGGGGGGAGACAAGTACTGGATGAAGAACTCTTTTCGGTAACAATCTCCTCAGACTCGAATATTTGCACAGTATGGATTAGAATATAAGTGTGTCGAGTTGGGTTGAATATAGAAAACACGCAGTAGCACTACGGTACAAACGGGATATATTCCATATTCAGATATTGTCTTGAGGAACTGCAGGGGATCAGTTAGGCCCAAAATCAGATAAAAATAAATAAATGGTATATTCCTCGGTGATTCGAGGTGCATTCCAACTATGTGGTCTGATCAATGTGTATAACAGGATCGCAAAAAATAATCAGTTTGTTCACGCTTTTTACAATGGATCCAAAACGGGTATTAAAGTAATTGGCAGGATTAAGCTATTAAAGAAATTAAAAAAACCAGGAACAATAACATATGCAGATTTAAACAGATGTCCACTTAAAGTAATACGGCCACTCGTAGAACCGTCCCCAGGGGACCTGCTTCCATGCAAGGTATTCCCTCGAAAGGTTTCGCCTGCACTTCCATGCTATAGCTGGCCGCGTGTCGGTGTGGCATATGAGCCATCCCCTGTTTATCAAATGTTGTGTTCTTTATAGGACTGCTTCTATACATGTATTACGAGCGATGAAGCCTCAGCTCAGTTCGTC